GTAGAGGGTGCAAACATTAATCAAACATTTCCTAGGGGTGTGGGGCATAGAAAAGGTTGGGAACCACTGCATTAGTGATTACGGCCAACAACCACAAACAATCTCCCCTCCTTCTATGGGGTTCTCTATCTCTTTTTAAAAACATGCTTCACCTGCCATGACCTTACATTCAATGAATAATGCATTGTCCAAAAAGGTAGCTTTGTCTGTCCTAAAACTGCCCAGTTCATTTGGTGACCAGTAATTCTTGTACCATGAGAAAGGAAGAAACGGTTCTCTCTAGTAAGTCTCTACAGCATGCATAATTGTGTACATTAAGGATGGACAATCTATTGCCTTCAAGATGTTTTGAAGTACAATACCCATAATTTAACCACTGGTCAGGCTGTCACGACCTTATGGAAGTGTAGTGTGGAGGGCTGTATACATAGGTGACAATTTTGCAACACTGTAGCGTTCACATGTAGCTTGTTTCAGATCTGAACAGCTCACAAAACCCATTCCAAGTTAATTTGAGTTTGAGCACTCATGGCCTTATATTAAAGAGAGTTATTACTTTTGGTTTTATTGTACAGGGACTAGTAAACTATTTTGTGGGCTTAACTTCAAGAACAAAATGATCAGAACTGCAAACAAATCTATGCAGTCACCTCAGTCTAAGCTGAATGCTAGAAGCAGATTCCTTAGTATTGCTTCATTTAATCCAGGGATCAACTTTTGTATCTTTTTCCAATATGAAATTAAATTATATAAGACACAAGAGGCATTTTAATACCAAAGCCTTTAGGTAGTTTTATTTCAGTGAATATAACCACAGCCACCTTCCAATATCTGGGCTCAAAGGATAAGTCTTCCATCTCAGAATCTGTATCTTGTTCAAGATTTGCTTTTTCTTTTGAAAAATGAACCACAACTAAAAATCATAGCTTTTCTTGATGAAAAGATAGGTTTTCTATTGTCTTGTTTAAACTGCCCTTTCTTAAAGCAATTTCATTTTGAACTGTGCTTAGTGGTCTGGAAAGCAAATTGTTCATTTTCTTCTTTTACAGCATGATAGACGGGGTTCCACATTTTTAAAAATTTATTTATCCCTCCTTATGGAATTTAAGACAGCATACATAAGGTTTCTAGATAATCTCCCATCCATTCACCAACCAGATTAAAACCTCTTTAGCTTGAGCAAGACAGCTGCATCAGGTACCTCCAAACAATTCATAATTTAAAAAAAAATCTATTTAGAGAATTTAGAGGGAGGGGAAAAGGCAAGGGAAGATTTTGAGGAAAAAAATGACCAGGCAGGGGAAAGGATGATCTCTTCTTTATGCAAAATGCCAAAACAATTGAGATTGAAATTGTATTTTATCCTTTGGTTTTAATAGATTCATTTGTCACAACTTTAACTATGCATTCTCTATGCATCTCTAAATCAGAAGATGGTTCAGTAATGCAACAGCATTTCAGTTTTAAGCCTCTGAACTACAAAATGGATGATTGTCCATCCAACTGTAGGGCCTTCATTTCAGTAATATGGAATTGTCTCAGTCAGAACAGCTACCCCTTCCAGCCCCTTCTAATGTATGTTTTGCCAACACCAATCCTTTAGTTGAGAGATTACATGTATCCTGTTCCTGACAGGTAAGACAAATTTACAGTTGAATGAATAACCATCAAGACAGAACAAATTAAAGCCCAAGCAAGTTTTAAGAATCAAAGATACTACTAAAACAAGCCTATCAAAGGAATGTACCACACAGACCACAGTAGTAGAGCTCTTACTCTAGACTATATTTCATACCCTGGACATAAAATAGGTTGTGAAAAGCAAGCCCTTTCTATGTGGATGGGCTTGGAAATTTTATTTTGTACATCAATCTACTTCTAAAACAAAATACTCCCATTGATCAGTCATAACTTTTGGCTGAAGTTAAGACATATAGCTACACTAAATAAGCATTAGAAAAAACAGACTCTTAAAGTTTAAATTCCAAAAAGTAACCGGTGTGGGTTTGTAGATGAAGCTTTCAAAACTGTAACAATAACATGCTTGCACTGACAATCCAGAACATATGCACGTAACACAAGAGCAGACTATAAACAAAATGGCTGAGTTCATATAACACATTTAAACAGTTCTGTTCCAAACTAGCGCCTGCATTCATACAGCATGCTAAGCTTGGCTGGCTGTACCACTGATCAGTTTTTTGCGGATTAGTGTGTTGTGTTAACCCAGACCATTTGGTTAGTTGACAGTTCAACATTGTATGCAAAGCCAGAAAATGGTTTGTTTGTGAACTAGCCAATCCAAGTTAAATCTGGAGAACTGTGTGTATGTGTGTGTGTGAGTGAGTGAGTGAGACAGAGAGAACTACTTTTTTCTGTGACTAGAATGATTCCTGTATCAGTATTATTTATTAAATTTATTATGGCTGCCCACTCCAGACAACTCTGAGCAGCTTACAGCAGCCAAATGCCTTCCAAGAGGGAGGTAGTTTACTTAATAATAAAGTTGGAATTTTCAGGCACCGAGTTAAAAACATATTTGCCCTATTTATACTTAGAAATTCTTTGTACTCTAGAGCCCACTTTCTTCAGTAAACGCCAGTACATCATTTTAATCACAGGAAAGAAAGCCCAAAGCATGCAGCTGACCATCCCAAACTACTTTTCAGGAAGCATCAGAAGATCAGTTAGGGAGGGTTTCTGATGAATCAGGGAGTATCTGGCGCCAGGTGGAGGACAGGAGAAGAACCAGAGGGAATCCTGATCACCAGGATCAGATCAAGAGGAAAAAAAACGAGCCAAGGAATCTTCTATTAGTAAGTGAAAGCAGCCCTGGGCCAAATTGTCTAACCTCTCGACTTCTGCAGCAGCCAGAAAAGTGGCTCCAGGAAGCCCAGCCACGCCATGAAAAATAACTGCTTTTATGTCATGCTCCCTGCTTTCCTGCTGCCCCTCAGCCTACAGACTCCATTGAGCAACCTGGGTCCACAGCCGCCCGCCGCCCTCTTCCAGGCTGCTTTTCAAGACCCCTCAGCCAGCCACCCCCTTCCATCCCAGGGCAGCCCATTCCACGCGTGCCTCCCTTGGCGGGGCCTCCTTCCCCAAGCGGTGCCCTCCAGAGGGGTGCCCCTTCAGCCCCTCTCCCGAGGCGGGGGTCTGAGCCCTCTGGGCAGCACGCGCCGGGCGAGGGAGCTGTGGCGCCTCAGGCAGGGGATGCTCCAGGGAAGGCCAGAGAAGAGGGAAGGCTGCGCTTCCTCCAAGAAGGGGCGCAGGAGGCAGACCAGACCCCCCGCCCGAGGAAGCGAGGGGCAGCCCCCCGGGCAAGGACACAGCTCGGCCTGCCTCCCCCCTCAGCCCCGCAACCCTCAAGCGAGGGAAGCCGCCCCCAGAGGCCCGCCCGCGGCGCCCTGGGAGCC